GCTGGCCTGGGAACGCCTTGGAGTTCCCCCGGAGGAGCTGGAAGAAGTGGCTGGGGAGAGGGAGGTCTGGGCCTCCCTTCTGAAGCTACTGCCCCCGCGACCCGACTTCGGATAGGCGGAAGAAAATGGATGGATGGATGTTTTTCTATTAAAATTGTGATATAAAACATATCATCATGGTAACGCGTGATCACACAAACATACGTCTTCTGTAGACTAGACCGTCTCATTTCACAGCCATTTATGCAGCCGACACGAGTGGCCCACGTCGACTGTGTTCAACTTCACATGGGGTCATAAATTGAGACACAGCCCAAATTTATCCTTTTTTTTTTAAATCATTGTCCTGTGCAACAGTATGAAACTCAGAATTAATGTCTGAGTATCAAGATTAGGCCCAACAGTTTTACACAAGTGCAGCATAATGGCTTTCTCCATGATGCTCCACTTGATATATATTTAAACTGTATTAGAAATTCTTTTGGGATTGTTTTTATATAGCAGACGCAGAGACTGAAAACAGAAAAGAAAAGGAGAAAGGTGAAGAAAGAGAAAGAGATAATAGTAGAGAAGAGAAAGAAGCATAAAAACAAGACAACACATTTGAAGTCTGCCTCTGCACCTGCAGAAAGAGAGAAAACAAAAAGCAAAAAGAAAACACAACAAACAACATATGTGTCTATATTAATTATAACCTTACTGAAAATTACACAGTATAATGTTTGCAAAACCAAGGTGGATGGCTGTCATCTTAAGACACCAGTCTCCAAAACCTCAATGCTATTTCATAGACCTTTACAGTTTACAGGAAATTAATGTGAAATTTCTATTGTTCTGAGCTTTTAGGTTTTCATACGTTTTTTAAAAACAGTAAAAAGTGCCACTATCTTAAATGTAATGGTTTAGCTGCTATTAGCAAGTTAACATTAAAAAAATCTATGAAAAAGTGCAATTAAGTAATAAAATTGTGTATAATTGTGTGGAGTTATAGAATTATTGGTGAATATTGCCACTGATATTTTGCTACATACATTTTCTCTAACTGTGTTTGTGTCAGAGAAACATTTTCTTTTCAGCAAATACATATGAATTAAACTCGTAAAATAAATAACAACAACAGATAAATAAATAGGTAAATAAAGTATACTGTATAATAG